AACTGAGTCAGGACTGCAACCCAGGCAGCCTGGCGCCTGCATAGGCCCTCGTAACCTCTGCTGCTGGTCTTCCATGGGGATGGATTAATGCAGTGCCAGCCATGGCTTTGCTTTATGATTTCCAGGCTTATGAGACATTGACAAGAAGAGAGGGTGGAGGGGGACAAGGGCAAAGCATTAACAGCCGGGCCTGCTGTCGGCAGCATTTGATACCAGGCAGGAGACTCTATTTAATAGACTTCACTCAGGGCAGGACGGGCTTTGTGTAGTTAGTCATGAAGGGAGGAGGAGGAATCAGTGTTTGTGGGCCTCTCCCAAATGAGGACTGACGTCATTTTTTTGTTGTTGTTGCGTTTGTCTCTGAATTTGACTTCTGATATTAACTGGCCAGTGGGAAATTCTATGCACTGAATTTCAGGTTCTTCCAGGGGGAGCTTTTGAGTGGCTAGAGCAACTCTGGATCAGGAACCGGCAGGTGCTTCTCAGACACCGCTGTCAGGCTGCCAGTACCACTACTGCACTCTTCTTCTCACACTTCTGTATCTCCTGCTTTCCTTTTCTCGGATTGGCCAACCCACAGTTGAGGTTAAGCCCCTGTTGCAGTCCCTAGGAAAGATAATTTAGAAGGATGAGATCTGAAGGTCAGAGTCAGTGAGCAGGAAACAGAATGAGGAGCATAAGAAGGGAGAACCTCCAATTCTAGGTAGAGAACTGAGCTTTAATGACTCGTGAGCCTTTTGCGTTTCAGTAAAAGCAAGGCCAGTGTCTTCTATCTGGATTTGATGCATGGCTCTTTCCCTGAAACCACAGTTTTCCTCTCGTTTCTTCCAAAACACAATACAGGCACTTCTTCTCCTGGGGTTACTGGAAGAGTCATAAACTGATTTGAAAAGTGTCTCCTAGGCTGAATGGGTGTCTGTGGCCTGAGAATTCAGGCCGGCAGGCTCCTTCCTGTCTGAGTGTTTGCTGACAGGCAGCCTACCTACCCTAGGAACCTGTCACATGCTTTCATATTTCACACCTTGGAGTTTCGGCTGTTTCCTTGCCCCTCTTACATTCCTTTCGACCTCTTCCTCCTTCCTGAAACCACACCTCACCATCCTTTTAGTCACTGCCACCTTACTTACCTTGTCCCTCTCTTATGTAGAAAGTACTTCAAGGAAATTGGAGATGCCTGGGTGCATCTCTGGCTTGTGTGTCTGGAAAACAAAGGGAAGTAAACGTCTAGTGTATTCTTATGCTGGGGGTTTGTTTGCCATGCTCTGTTTACATTATTGCTTACAAACCCCACAACATAAAGTCCTCAGCCTAAGATTAGGAAGTAGCTTCAGAGCTGTATCTGCCTCTGGAAGTTCACATTCTGAGTTTTGGGTAGCTGTAGAGTCCATTCCAGCTTTTTAACCTCATATCTCTGATTTCATACCAACTGGGTGTTTTGCTTATTCCTGACATTGTTTTTGTTTTTGAATCTTGCTCTTGTGAAGCAAGCACAGTGCCACTGAGCTAAATCCCCAGCCCCTTCCTCACATTTTTTTTTTAATAGAGGAAAGACAAGGACAATCTCTTAGGGCTAGAGATGTAGCTCTTTCAAACAGTGTTTGCCTAGCAGATGTGTGGCCCTGGGTTTTAGTCCCAGTACTGCCAACAACAACAACAACAACACAAAAACAACCTTCCAGCTCTCTTGTCTTTAAGGATCAGATATCTTTCCAGAATAATCAGAATGACTTTTTTTAAAAAAAAACTGAAAGAGGACGTACAAGAGCATTTCATTGTTTAATTTGAAAAAATTAAACCATGGAACTATTTCTTAAAAAATGATTATGGGAACCCCACTATGTATAAGAGAGGTGCTTGGTGGAGGGAACTCTAAGACCTAGCCTCTCTACATCTCTTGCAGCCCAAAGTCTTCAGATTGATTCTGATGAATATCCTTTGAGAAACCACATGCTCTGTTTCTGTTATTTTTTGGTACCAAGGATCGAACTCGGGACCTTGCGCTTGTGAGGCAGTTGGTGGCAACACTGAGCTAAATCCCGGGTCCTGTAGAATATTCTTTGAAAGCTCCTGATTATCTTTCGTTGTAGAGATGAGCAAGCTGAGGCACACGGAGATGAAGTCAGAACTAGAGTCTGGGTCATGCAGGTTCCAGCCTGCACTTTTCACAGAAACCCTACTTAGTGTATCTTTGCACAAACACTGCAGGACGCTTGGTCTGGGAAGGTAGAGAGGCAGAGACTGAGGAAGGGCTGTGCTTCCTCTTTTTCTTCTTCCCCATCACCAACAGCCTGTGCTTCCAATCTCTGTGGAAAGGAAGCAGGTCAAGGAGGGGACTCACAGGGAATATTGAAGGATACAAGCAGGGATACAAGCAGAGGTAGGAGGGAATGGTTAATAAGGGTCTGGGGCTGGAGGGTAAGCAGAAAGAGAAGGGGAGGGGACTCAGAGGGGAAGTGAAAACAGTGAAGGACCTAAGACCAAGACTGGGCCCAAGTTCTGCTCTAGGACCTCTTTGGACAAGTCCTGGAGGCTTTTCCAGATCTGTTTTCTTCCAGGGCTTCTCCGCCCACCAGCAGCATGTGTGTGTACAGGTCACGGAAGGCAGTGGTATGGGAGAGCAGTGCAGAGCAGGAGTCCTAAGCAGCAAACCCAGCCGCTTAAAAGCTCCCTGGGCCTTAGTTTCCCACCTGTGAAACTGGACAAACAAGAAGATCTCTAAGGGCCCTTTTGGCTCTGACAGTAACGCCTTCTACGGGATGCCTGTGGCAAATGTGGGCTTCAGGGCACCTAGAATTGTAGGATTAGTAGCTAACAGGCACCAGGCATTCTATAGTCTAGCAATCTTGTTTAATAGGTGAGAAAACTGGGCCCAGAAAGGAAAAGTGACTTTTCTGCTTCTTTCAGCTTTATTCTTCTTTTTCCTCTGAATTTTACAGCATCTAAAGATTAGCTCAAAGCAGTTCTTTGTGGTAGATAATCTTTAATTGTTTTTCTGAATATTTTATTGCCTTTCGAAGTGTTCTTTTTTTTTTACAAAAATAACATATGCAATGTTATAAAAATTTCCATTAATACAGGAAGTGAAAAAGCATAAAACTGCAAAATTGTCCTCATTCTCCTGTCCTTACCCCTTGTGTTCCCAGGGACATCTGTTAAGGGTTGGCGATGTATCCATTTTTAAAGTTTTCTTCTTTTTTTCTTTTGGCTTTTTGAGATGGGGTCTCACTGTGTGTAGTTAAGGCTGGTCTGAAACTTGCTATGGAGCCCAGGCTGGCCTTGAACTCATGGCAATTTCCTGCCTCAGCCTCCTAAGTGCTGGCATTACAGATAAGCCCTACCATGCCTGACCCTCTATTCTTGTTTCTGTGGGACTGGGGATTCAACCCAGGACTTTCACATTAAGCCCCATACCCAGCTGTTTATGTGTTTTAAATTTTTGAGATAGGCTCTCATTAACTTGCTGAGTTGCCCAGGCTGGGCTCAAACTTGCTATCTTCCTGCCTCAGTCTCCCAAATCACAGGCATGTACTACCATGCGGTTTCTGACCTTTCTGATGAACACACAAACGTGTTTTTCTCCCTCCATAGATGGGACTAAAATATAATTATTCAAGTACGTGCTTTATAATCAGACACACCTGGGTTCTTCTTCTTCTTCTTTTTTTTTTTTTTTGGTACCAGGGATCGAAATTGGGACCTGGCGCTTGCAAGGCAGGTGGTGGCACAACTGAACTAAATTCCCAGCCCACCTGGATTTTAATCTAGACTCAACTAATTATTTCAGTACCTTGACCAAGTTATTTGGCCTTTTAGACTAAGTTTTTAGACAAGTTATTTACTTTTTAGACTCAATCTTCTCATGTGTAAAATGGGAATAATAATAGTATATGTAAGGTCACATGGGGCACGATTGAGACCACAGAGGCAAAGTCTAAGCAACATGCGATGAGTTTATTGTCATGTGGGTGCTGAGGGCCAAGGGTGAGAAGGCCGTTGGCACTGACAGGAGGGTGCTCGCGGTTGATTTGGGGCATTTTAGGTAAGGGAAGGGGTACTGGTCAAGAGGGTGGGACATTTTAGAGTCCCATGGGTGATGGGCCTGGGACTGGCTGGTAAACAGGGCAGTGGTGAGAGCTGCAGGGCGGCTGCTGACTTCCTGTCATCTCTGTGCCCCTGGGGATGTGGGTAGCGGGTCTGCTTGGGCAGGGGTTGGACTTGGGGGACCTGTCAGTATCTATCTTAAAGAATTTAGTGAATATTTAATAAGAGTTTATATGAATAGTGCTTTATATGAATAGTCCCTGGTATACACACACACACACACACACACACACACACACACACACACACTGAGCGAGCACTGAATGAATTAGAAGTAAAGAAAAGCTAGATTCCAAGTTTCCTGATGTCCAGTCTCCTTGCCTTCTGTCATAGCTTTTCTTCTCACTCAGATACCAGCCAGCCCCATGTTAAGTAATCGATACTTGTTGAAGGAATGATGAGGGTAGGGAGTGGTAGGGATATGAGGTCCATGGAATTCCTGGGATGCCTGCTTTAAAAAATGGAGAATTTTACCCTGTGGATTGGGAGGGTGTGGGACAGCAGGGTTGACAGGACCAGCTGTTGCCTGAGGGCTGCATGCCTGGAGAGCTGAGCCTCAAGAGCCCAGAGTGGCTCTCAGCTTAAAGGATTTTGGCTTAAAAGGAATGTGTAGTGGGCTGCTTCTGCTCAGGAGGGGCTAAAAAAAGCTTCAGCCTCCCCTGGGCTTTGTGTGAGGGTTATCAACTGCCTGTGTCATCTCTCTGGCTGCTGTGGCATTTTGGACAGGGTCTGTTTTCCTGGCCCTTCTGGGTTTCCACCAGTTGGCAGCCTGCCCCAGAGGTGGAGGCTGAGGGGAGTGAGGTGTATATGTGGGAGGGGGCTGGTAGTTCCAAAGCTGGTAACAATACACAGTTGTCAGCTGTACCCTGCTGGTGTTTCTTCCTTTTATAGTCAGTAGCAGTTGCTCTTGCTCTCACCCAGCCCCTCTGTGGGGGCTCCTGCCCAAGATAAAAGAGGAGGGAGGTGTCCCAGTCTCCTATCTCATCTCTCATGAGCTGGTTGCATCTGTATCTCTTGGTTCCTTCTTAAGTGCGTCTTCTCTGAAGATCCCAATAAGACAACATGCCTCCCAAGAAGCCTGAACCTAAGAAGGATACAGGCAAGCCAGCCCCAGCTGCTGCCCCAACTTCTGCCCCAGCCTCAGCTCCTGAACTCCTCAAGGAACCGGCCTTTGACCCCAAGAGTGTAAAGGTGAGTGAAGCTCAGCCTGTAGGGTAGAGGAGGAGATGACATTCAGGAGCCTATTCACCATGGAGCTTAGAGAGATCTACTTTGAGGAAGCAGACTCGGGTGAGGCCTGTGGTGTCACAGCCCTACGAAACCTGTGTTGGACTGGGGTTAGGGAGAGGCATCTTAACTCATAGGCCTCTTCCCTTAAGAACAGGCTGTTGTTCTGTTCAAGGAGGCCCAGCCTGCCTACTTCAGGTTTGCCCAGAGTTGAGTGTGGTGGGAAGGGTAACCGACCAACTCTTTAGCCTTTTAAAAGGCTATATGGGGGCCACCATAGTGAAGTCCAGGAGCCTGACCTTTTCCTGGGAGGTGGTATGATATCTTTGTAGAGAACAGACACTCAGTGATAGTGGCCATCGTAACCTGGAAGAACAATATAAGCATCTGGGATGGGGTGTCCTTCTGTACTGGGACCTGGGAAAAGCTTTACTCAGAAACATTTTTTTGGAGGGTGTGGGGAATGGAAAGGGAGGCAGTAGATAAAGTAAAGGAACCTGAGTCTCTCCATCCCTCTTTCCCTACCCCGATGGGCCCCTCCTTTTGTAGCCTCAGTCTGGCCTCCTATTGAGTTTGCAGCAGAGTGTCACCCCTGGATAAGGAAGCTGGGCCTGTTACCCGCGGGCCTTGGTAGCTTATTACCTCCCTGCCCCACTCTGTTCCCTCACATTGAATTAAAGAAACCACGCCTTTATTCAACAGATATTTTTGGAGTGCCCACTATGTGCAGGCCTTTCAGTGAATAATAAGAAAAATATCTGTCCTATGGGGAACCCTGGCTTCAAGAGGACAGGAACCTGCGAGCTGAGTCAGCTATTTTAGGCTTCCCAGCTATCTGGCCCAGCTGCTGAAGGAATGAACTGGGAGGCGGTGGGCCATGGGAGGAGGGGTTGCAAGTCTCTGGAGAGGAGCAGTTTTCAGCCTTGGCACCAGAATGGGAAAGGTCAAGTGCCTACTGGTATGGAGAGTTATTAATAGCAAGCTGGGAGTGGTGGGCCCTTGGGGAGCTCAGCCTTAGAGCAGGGAAGCGGGTGGTGAGGAATTAGGTAAAAATAAGAGTGCAGGATTATTTTCTGTGACAAATGGAACCTGAGGCTCAGTGAGCCTCTCAGGATTCCCAGCATTCCCAGCAGGGATAGCCTACAATTACTGTGTCAAGGATCTGGGGATTGAGCCCTGGTAGTCCTGACAAGGGGCGAGAGTTAAGCAGAACAGACTTGGCCAAGGAGTAGAGGCTTGAATTCCTGGGCTTGAATATGGCTCCCACTGGGGAAACTGAGGTGCGTGTTAAAGCCTTGAAAGCAAATGAGGTTTTCTTTGCCATATGTTCTCTCTGTGAGCTAAGCTTGGCAAGAGAAGCTGCCCCTCTGCCCCTCAGGAGCCCTCCTTGCCTTTGTTTCTGATTTGCTCTGATAAAGCACCATTCCCTGGTGTCCGGGAAAGAACTGCCTGATGGCATTAAGTGGGTGTTCTCCCATCGCTTCCCTCTACCTGTGTCTTTCAGTTTTCTACCCTTGGCTGCCATTACCTTTACTATGTCTGCATCTTCAAATCTTGGGGTCGTTGAAGGTACTTTAGAGTAGGAAAAAAATCAGCATCTTTCACGAGAGCCATTTTCCCATATTGCCCAGTTCCCGTGCTTTTGCTCAAAGAGAGATCAAAAGTAAACCTAAGCCAAATTTTCCTGGCTGTGATGATGTAGTCAGATTTTATGTTTTTACACTAGTTTCTTTATGCCTGGGACGTAATGTATGGCAAAGTAAGGTGAACAGTACCTTTCCCCCAGAGTTACTATACAGCATCCTTTACCCCACTTAGGGATTTCCTTTAACTTCCTCACCTCTGCCCCACCACCCACATTTGGCAAACTCCACTCCTGAGCATAGCTATTTTCATTCTCAACCCTTCCTGGAACTCATGCCAGCCGCCTCCAGGGGTCCTCTTTATAGAAGTTAAGTCTGGGAGGTGAGGAGAAGGGTGGGCACAGTGTAAGAAGCAGAATTAGGACTAGGAATGGTAGCACGTAAAGAAGATGCTCTTGGTGGTGCCCACCACCACTGGAAAGACAAGGAGATGGGTTGGGATAGGATGGGGTGGGTAAAGACAATGACGTAACATAAAAGGTCCTGATTAAAATGATGACACATGCTTGGTCATTGACATTCATTTCTAGAGGCTCCCACTTTCCTCTTTTGTACTCAGCATGAATTATTATGCGCAACAAAATCCAAAGCCTATTCTTTCATTGAGCAGATATTTTTTGAATGCCTCCTATATGTCAAGCAGTTCAGCGAACAATAAAACAGCAGGTAGACCTATAGTCACCATAAAGTGGAAAAGAGAGTCCAAGGGTAGGGATTGGTGGGCACCCAAAGCAGGAGAAGATCTAGTTTGTCAGAAAACAATGATCAGGGAGAGACTGAAGAGAAAGTGAGTGCAGTTTATGGCTAGCTAGGATGAAGAATGTAACTTTGACGCAGTAGATTACAATAGGGAGTCATGGTAAATTCTAGTTATCTAGATGATTTCTTGCTGTCTGTCTTGGTATGATAGAGCTTTGGAGGCTTCGTTATTTTACAGTTTACCATCAGGAGCCTGATGTTTTACACTCAGAGTGTGTTCTGCTTCTCTTCTCATCAGTGGCCTATTGGAAATGACCAGGCTGCCCTCTGGAAGCCTTCAGAGTCTCAGCCCTCACTTCTCTTTTTCCCTCCCTACAGATAGACTTCTCTGCTGACCAGATCGAAGGTGAGTATGAACCATTCCACATTTTCCTTTCTGTTGTGCTTTCCTGGAGAAGGAGGAAAAGGAGGAAGAGACGGTGCTCTTGTCTTCATGGTAATAGTGATCTTTCTAATCTTCACAAATCTATAGCCAGCAATTGCCCAGTCCTAAGTACTTTTCATTTAATTCTGGTAGCAATCCTACAAAAAAGTAACGTCACTACACCCATTTACCAAGTGGTAAAACTGAGGCCCCAGAGTTAGGGTGGCTCATCCAGTCATATAAACCAGGCAGTACTGGAGTCAGTATTCAAACTTAGGCACCGGATCCCGGATCTGTGTTCTCAGCTGCTCTGCCAGACTTCATGGAACTAAATAGCTACTCAAACAATGTTAGTGCCTTTTTTCTCCACCACGAGAGTCTACCCAAGACATTTGGAAGTTCTTGTTTCTATTCTCATTATTGAGAAGCCCTCCTTAGGTTACTGGCATCTCCTTGTCCCATCATGAAGTTTGCCAAGATGCTCCACACTAATGGTGGCAGGGCCGATGGTGATCCTTGGGTGGCCTAGTCCATCAGCCACTTTTCTCCATCTTTGATGGGATGATTTATGTTTTCTCAGTCTTATATGAAATGTCATTAAATATAACCTCAAGGTAAATCTTAGGACCTCCCACTCTCCCAACCTGATTATCCCTTAGCCATGCCTCTTTAGGAATCTGGTGTTTCAAGAAGAAAATGCCTCACCTCATGATAGTTATAGGTTCCCAGCTCAATGTCATTGAACTTATCTTTCTGTTTCCCCTCCTAAACGCCTCCAGGACATAAAATCAAAGCAGTTAGAAGAGACTTTGAAAAATTTTCTGATCCAACCCCTTTATTTTATTCTATTTTTTATTTCTGGTACCAAGGATTGAACTTGGGAACTTGCGCTTGTGGGCAGGCAGCGGAATCACTGAGCTAAATACCTGGCCCCTTAACCTCTTCATTTTAAACACATACTCTATCTTAAAAGTAAATGAATACAAGCACATTATAAAGTAAACAATAACAAAAATAAGATATTAAAAATAAATAATAGTGTTTTTCTCATGCTGATCCTTCTCCCAAAGACAACCACAGTTAAGTCTTTATGTATCATTTGAGAAAAATATATAGTGATACAGAACTACATATGAATGTATAAAATTTATGTACGTATTGACCCACCTGATAATGCTGTCCTGTACCTTTATTAAATATAAACATTTGGATTTAATCATATATAATATACTATTTAATAATAGGTTTGGGTGTCTCTTCATAATTATCACAGATTGTTCTATTTTATTTTTTTAAACAAGGATACAGATTTGTACATACGGATATACTCACATAACCAGGACTACACTGTAGATTTTCAGATTGTTTCCAATTGGGAAATGCAGTGTGTTTTCCTAAGCAAGCCTCCCAACAGTGGGTCAAAGGATACGTGCATTCAGTTGCAATAGTTATTTCTAAATTGTCCTCCAAAGAAGTGACACCACTTTACCCGGGAATAGAGTATGCGAGTTGGCACATGCATTTTGAAACTAGTGAATTGAATCTGTTTTCATAATAACCTGTGAATAGTCATTTTCAGTCAATAGCTTTGGAGGTGCTGTGAAATTCTTAAAATCAATTTTAGTGTATTTTAATTAAATATATGCTTTTACAGATATACAAACCGCACAGCACAGTAGGACCAGAAAATCAACTAATGACAACAAATTTTCACTTTTCAAATGAGAATCATGGCTAAAGCCAATTGGGACAGCTGGTTGAGCTCTTCTTTCCTTGCAAGTTTTTAAGAGATGGGGAGGATAGCTTCCTCCGATTTTGAAGATCTTTTTCCTTATGTTGGATCAGAATTATTTCTTCCTTAATTTTACCCCTGTTGTCTCTTAATTTTTTTCTTCATAAAGCTGATGATGATTTTCTAGTGCATGGAAGAGAAAAAAATATTTGGGAATCAGGAGAGTATAGTATTATCCCTTACTCTGCCAGTATTGGCCATAATACTTTTGGAGAATTATGTCTTTAAACTTTAATTTTCCTACCTGCGAGTTGACAGTTTTTAGTTCTTTTTAATTCATAAACTTGGTGACTATTTAGTATTTTTTATCTTCCATCAATTGGAAGCATACTTTCCATTTGTTTGGAGATAGGTATCAAATCCCTTCTTAGTTATATATTCTTTAGGTGATGCGGCCACAGTTTCTTTTTTTTAAACAACAAAAAATGTTATTTCAAAAGTTTTCAACCACAGAGAAAAGCTGAAAGAGTAGTTCAACCAACATCCTGTACGCAGCTCACCAGTGGTTGAGTTTTTGGCATGTTAATTTTATTTCTTTCTCCATCTGTTTGTGTAAACCTGTGTTTTCTTTTCCTGAACCATCTGAAAATAAGTTGGTGACATCATCACACCTCACGCTTACCTATTTCCAAAAGGAAGGACTTGCTCTTTGTAGCCATGGAAGCTGTGCTGCACTTAGGGATTATTGTTAATTTAGTTATATGATATGATATTATATTATATACAAGCCCTATTTAATAATTTCTAGTGGCCTCCACATTTCTTCTCTAGCCACAAAAGGGAAGAGCTGAGCCATGGCAAAGGCACCTTGGTTTTTTTTTTGCCTCTAGGATATTTGGTCCTAGGACCACAGCCCTCTGGCTGCCTCCTCCTCC